GGTCGTACAGGTCAGCGATGGGTCCCCAAGTCATGCGCAATATCGCCCTGTCATTGCTGTTGAGGCCCAGTCTGTTTCTCGAACGTCCAAGGGTGAATATAAACCTGGATGCCCGGATGAAACAGCTGCTCTGCACTCCTCCATGGTCTTCTTCGGCAGCGGGCTGAGTGCTGTTGCCAGCCGAATGGAGACCGCTGATTGCTCGTTTCCTTTCGTTGCTCGGCTGATTACCCATTCAGGGAGGCTGCGTTTCGCTCTTGCCCTTAGACGCTGATTTTGTAGAACAGTCTAAAAAAGATCTAGACAAATCAATTCATTAATAGGTAAGGTTTCAGCTGTTCAGGCTACATGATATTCACAACAATTGCTCCTTAAAAACACAGAGTATCACTTAAGAGAAATGGTAATTTCTAAAGGAAACTGACCCATAGCTCCATACGCAATTGATTGACTGAACTCGATAGACTATTAAAGACCATCATCATCAATGGCAAGCAAAGCAAAAGCAGCACAATATCTATTGTTTTTGACGTCTGACTTCAAGAAATGGGATTTCAGAATGAATTAAGCAACTTTTATTGTTGTGATTAAGAAAATATGCATCATCACCAGTCTTCTGTCTCAAAAAAGGTATTTCCACGTTTTGCATAGTCCTCCGACGTGTCTGTGGCCAGTGCAGGGTTCCCAAGAGAGAAAGTTATGAATTTATTTCCATTCTCGTTTTGGGTCGTTTTATCAAATCAGGCTCTTCGCCGGTCTCTAAGTGCATCTGAAAGATTTTGTAGACCGGTAGTCCTCAGCACCTGCTCGTTCGTGCCGGGTAATCCAATGGCAGTTGGAAAATCCTACTAGGCGGAGCTATTGGATACTGTCTAACGATACGCTTCATCATACGACACATATTTTGAGATTGTACATGAACACCGCGAATACGGCTACTTTTAAAATGTTGATGTTCAGGTTCGTTCTCAAATATCGAATTTTCCATATGTCATACAGTTTCCGAAATTTGCCGATGCAAATTCAGTGGACCGAATCGCCTGAGGATCAATATCGTCATCGTTAGTCAACACAATTCCAAGCTACTTGAAAAGGTGTGCCTGGTAAATGGTAATACCATTCCATAATATGCTTAGTCTGCAGGTTACGGCGAACGATCATAGATTCTTCTTCCTCTTTGCATCGTACTGTAGCCTCACTCCCATTGCAATGTTTTTGGGAGTGTCAGTGGAGTTGTAGAGAATTAGCTCTGCAAAACGATGGCATATTCGTACTCCAGATCTATTAGGAACACCACTGGGTACCTCGATCTGAGTCGTTGACTAGCAGTAAGTCCCCGGCTAAAATGTATAAGTAGTCTAATGACCGTGAAGACTACAATTCAAACAATAACAGTCTGCGGAGCTGCTCTAACCTATCTGAAACTGCCTGTAGCTTTGCTGCTTAAATACTGTAACTAGAGCTTAAATGCATTGAGGTTTCTTGAAAGTTTATATTAGAAGTTATTGTAACTTGCACTTTCGCAATCTGATCAATTTAAACTGATTTGGCTATGCAGAAGTAGGCGTAGAGAAGTATTTATAGACGGCGCATGGCGTAGTCATTGGGCTTAGTGTATTATCCTCATACTCCGCATGACACGCCAATGTACTGTACTCAAAATTTGCCTAGTGTCATAATTGTCGTCACCACCAGTAATGAACTATAATATGGTAGGAAAACGAGATCGAGTTACAAGAGACTGAGACGATCGATCTCCTCAAGTCCATCAGTAAATTCGTTTATATGAAGTAAACTCTAAAAATGGCGGACGGAAGGATAACTGGTGACTGACTATCCACATGGATTTTCAAAGAACAGAATCTGAAATTTCATAATGCTCCGTAGATATGATAAGTAAACAGCACTGCATAGCATAAGCCCTTCATTGTCACAGGGAAATTAACTGACTGACTGATTACAGATCAAAGACGCCCTGGTATCCTCAGAGTGAAGGATGCGCTGAGTTTCACTTCACAGCAATAGACGTCGATGAGTACCGTCCGTGCAGCACGCACGTAAGACAAACCAATGATGCACAATGACAGACAACAATGCTGTCAACTGCTGTCGGTCGCGCTGCAGGAAGGACGGAAGTGTCTGTGAGCATTGCGTTTTAGTCCC